CCCAAGGGCCCCAGTCCCCCCCCCCCCCCGCCACCCAAAAGCCTTAACTTCCTCTTCAACAGTTTAGGGTTTGGGGTTTAGGGTTGAGGGTTTAGGGTTGAGGGTTTAGGGTTTAGGGTTTAGGGTTTGGGGTTTAGGGTTTAGGGTTTAGGATTTAGGTGGTAGATAAGGTTGTAAGGGCCCCACATCAAGTTACAGCCAATTGCAACTCTAGCTGCCCCACTTTATATGCCCCCACTTCCAAGTGCCCTAAACCCTATAAACCCTATAAACCCTATAAACACTATAAACCCTATAAACCCCCTATAAACCCTATAAACCCTATAAACCCTATAAACCCTATAAACCCTATAAACCCTAAACCCTAAGCCCTGAGCCCTGAACCCTAAACCCTAAACCCCCACTAAACCCTAAACCCTCAACCCTAAACCCTAAACCCTAAACCCTAAACCCTAAACCCTAAACCCTAAACCCTAAACCCTAAACCCTAACCCTAAACCCTAAACCCTACGCAGGAGTATCCCGAACTGAAGATGAAGCCCAGACGCGGCATCACACAGGAGGAATGGGATTACTTCCTGCACATCGAGGACACTCCACAACACTAAGGGGTTTAGGGTTTAGGGTTTAGGGTTTAGGGTTTAGGGTTTAGGGTTTAGGGTTTAGGGTTTAGGGTTTAGGGTTTAGGGTTTAGGGTTTAGCCCTAGAGCCGAAACCGTCGAAGCCCTGGGTTTTTGGAGAGGGGGCATGCGTCTTTCAGTGGGTTCTCGAGGTTGAGATACACCTTTTCCTGCACAACCACAAAATACACGGGTGGGGTTCTTGTTGGTTTTTTTTTTTTTTTTTTTGGGGGGGGGGGGGGGGGTGTTTTTGGTTTTTCTAAACCCTCCAACCCTAAACCCTAACCTAAACGGGGGGGGTGGGGGGGGGGGGTAGGGTGGGGGGGCGTTGAAGCCAACCCCCATCAAGGGTAGGGGGGTAGGGGGGTAGGGGGGGTAGGGGGGTGGGGGGGTAGGGGGGGGTAGGGGGGGTAGGGGGGGGGGGGGGGTGGGGGGGTCCGGGGGGTAGGGGGGGTAGGGGGGTAGGGGGGGTGGGGGGGTAGGGGGGGTAGGGGGGGTAGGGGGGGTAGGGGGGGTAGGGGGAAAGCTGCCCGGGTACCCCCCTTTTCACCTCCTTTTCCCATCCAACACGCCGCCTGGGTCGGCGGACCCTAAACCCTAAACCCTAAACCCTAAACCCTAAACCCTAAACTCTAAACCCTAAACCCCTGAAACCCTGAAACCCTAAAACCCTAAACCCTAACCCCTTATAAACCCTAGGCTCTAGGCCCCAAACCCTAAGCCCAAAAACATACCCAAAAAGACCCAAAAGCAATACCCCAAAAAAACCTGGCTCCTAAATTTCCCCCCCCCCCCCCCCCAACACCCAAACAAAATCAAACACAGCGAGGAAACCCTATCTCAGCCCTGGGCCCTAAGCCCCAAACCCCAAACCCATGGGCCTCTGAGCTCGAGGCTCGATGATGTCGGACCCAGCTTCTCTTCCAGTTTAGAAGGCTCAAGACTGGTCCTAAACCCTAACTAAACATTGAATCCTAAGCCCTAAATCCTAAACCCTAAACTAAACCCTTTCCTTTTGAAGCTCGCAGCCCTACCGCACCTTTCTCCAAGCTCTCGTAAAAAACAACAACCTAAACCCTAATTACTTGAACAAAGCCCAAGGGTCTGGGGTTTGGGGTTTCGGGTTTTCGTTAGAGGGCTTGTGGGTTCAGTGTGCGGAGGGGGGCACGTCACTCGGGGGCACATATTTCCAATGCAGTCCAACAATTTTCTTTGGTGCTAGGTTTCTTTCTCCCTCGTGCTGGGTTCCTGTACAGGGGGCAGGCGGCTCCCAACAAGTTTCGCAGAAGGCTAGAAGAGGTGCAAGGGAGGTTGCATGGCGACACCGGGGAGGAGACAGGGGATTTCCGGAGGGTGAGGAGTAAGCAGGAATGGCTGTAGGCTTCAAAGCCAGCGCTCGAATAGGTCGTCGTTTCGTCGAGCATCAGTTGAAAGACAGGGAAAATCACAGTTTTATCAACCCTAAGCCCTAAACCCTAAACCCTTAACCCTACAAACCCTACAAACCCTACAAACCCTACAAACCCTACAAACCCTACAAACCCTACAAACCCTACAAACCCTACAAACCCTACAAACCCTACAAACCCTACAAACCCTACAAACCCTACAAACCCTACAAACCCTACAAACCCCAAACTATCGGGGGAAGCCATGAGGACCCTTTCGACACCCAGCGCGACTTGACCTGCGTCCTGGGCCCGGGAAGCAACAACCGACTGTGGGAGGTACCGCTGTCCGCACTGTCTCTGTGTATGCACTGCATACTGGTACATACATGCGTATGTATATATATATATATATGTATATTGTATATAGTATATTTTCTATCATGTTATATCATATTGTTCATACAATGTTGTCCTATAGTGTGTTCTGATATATTGTATGAAATAGTAATATATATATATATATGTGTACATACACATGTGTGTATATATATATATATATGTATATATATATAGGGTCCAAAGGTGCCTTTGAGTAAGGCCGGAAGTAGAAGTGAAACGAACTTTGGCCTGGCTCCTTCCGAACAGCTGTGTCCCTGCACACCTCAAGCCCTAAACCCTCAAGCCCTAAACCCTAAACCCTAAACCCTGAACCCTAAACCCTGAACCCTGAACCCTAAACCCTGACGCTCTCTGGAGCCCTTGTAGAATTCCACAGCCCAAGTCCAAATCCCCCTTGTCTAAACAGAGCTGCACTTTGCAAGCCCCTGTCCACCTTTTTCCCTTTCAAAATCCCAAGTGCATGAGCACGAAACCCCGAACTCCCCAAAGCGAGGCCCCTAAATCCCCCGAGCCTAAGCCCTAAGCCCCACAACCCCTGAAAAGCAAAGCCCTTTCTTGTTGGGAGGCCCTCGGCAACGTGAAGCGGAGACAGCGCCGGTGGGTCGGTCGTGGACAAAGGGGTTGAGGGCCACAGCTTCAGTTTAGGGTTTAGGTTTTACCAGAGCCCTAAACCCTAAACCCTAAACCCTAAACCCTAAACCCGAAACTTTCCACATGTGTTTAGGGGCTTATCGAAGGGCTCGTGGCCTCCATAGGGGCTAGGACTTCGGCCTTATCGGCCTTGTGCTTCGTGTTTTCGGGCTTGCCCGAAACCCCAAACCCCAAACCCCAAACCCCAAACTCCAAACCCCAAACCCCAAACCCCAAACCCCAAACCCCAAACCCCAAACCCCAAACCCCAAACCCCAAACCCCAAACCCCAAACCCTAAACCCTAAACCCTAAACCCTAAACGCCTGAATGAGGCTTGTTTAGGGTTCTTGGGGTTTAGGACTTCGAGGGGATCACGCCCAGTCTCGGCTCTGGCTATAGGGATGCTTGCAGAGCCTTGAGGAAGCAGCGACAGCCTCCGGGACCCAACAGTGGCCAGGAGGGTTAGGGTTTATATGGTTTGGGGTTTAGGGTTTAGGGTTTAGGGTTTAGGTTTTAGGGTTTAGGGTTCAGGGTTTAGGGGTTTTAAGTGTAGGCATAACCCATTTAGAGGGCCCTCAAGTGCCCTAATAGGGTTCTAAGTCGGGGCGATAATTGGGTTGCTAAGTACCGTGAACCTCCAGGTATGGACCCTAAACCCTAAACCCTAAACCCTAAACCCTAAACCCTAAACCCCGGAGGTTCGCTGCGACCCTGTTAAGATCAGACTGAAGTCAAGGGAGCTTGCGCAGATGACACATCCGTCTGGGCCTGGTGTTGAAAACCCTGAAGCCCCAAACCCCTAGACCCTAAACCCCAAACCCCCTAAACCCTAAACCCCATTTCAAGCTTGGAGTTAAGGGTAGCGTGCCCCCGTGAACACAGAAGCGGGCCCGAGCTTGAGTTGCAAGTACGAAAATTGAGGTGACACGAGTGGCGAGGTCCATCCTTTAATTTCCCCTAAACCCTAAACCCTAAACCCTAAACCCTAAACCCTAAACCCTAAACCCTAAACCCCCTCTACCAGACCTGTACTCTCGGAACCCTGTGCTTTCTTGGGGGCCTAGCAAGGTTTCACCAAAGGGGCAGTTCCGAGAGTCCCCACACTTCTGGAATACACCTTTACAAACTGTATGAGTGTAAGGCTACGGTCTATTTCTTGATTCATGGGTACTAGGCTTAGGGATGTGACCTCTATAAACCTTAAACCGTGGATTTCGCATTTGTGGCGGCTGGAGGGGTTGCAAGTTGGCTCATCTCCAGACCATGGACGATGTCGCGACGATGACGTCCACAGATGGTTTTAGAGTCTAGGTCTTGACGGTTTAGGGTCTAGGGTGTAGGGATTCGGGTGGAGGGTGTAGGGTTATATGGCTGAGGAACTAGAGCGGCGGCTATGCGGACCTGGTTTTGGCCATGGCACGCCCTACTTTCCAATCGATAACAGGGAGGCTACCTCCATGGTACACCTAAAGCACCCCCCTACACCCCAAACCCTATCGGGAGGTTCGTGGGTCGTTGTAACTGGCGTTATAAGTAGGGTTGCTGCAGTAGTTTTAACTGGTTATATCCCTACACTGGGGGGGGGGGGGGGGTTCTCAAACTTCCCCTACCTTAATCCGAAGCGCTCTTATGACACCCTAACTCTAAGCCCCCACCCTTGAAAGCCCAAACCCTAAACCCTCAGAACCCGAAACCCTCTTAACCCCGCTAGACCCTACCGGATCCAGTGTAGTTCTTGATTGGGTTAGTTTTAGGCGCTATAGTTATAGGGGGTTCTAGGTAGTATACTGCAAAACGGGCTACGTTAGGACCCTTTTAGGTAACCTTGGGGTCGGGATAATTATTATTAGCATTCCCTTATAATCCCTTGGTAACTATACTAGAATAACCCCCCCCCCAAAAAAAAAAACGAATTCCGATTAATATGGACCCTTTAGGTAACCCCGTGCCCGAAACAGGTCCAAGGGCAAGGGCGGCGGCAAGTTTGGCAAGGGCGGAAAGGGTGGCAAGTTCGGCAAAGGCAAGTCCGGTACCCCGGCTGGAGGGTTTAGGATTGAGGGTTGAGGGTTTAGGGGGGTTCAGGGTTTAGGGTTTAGGGTTTAGGGGGTTCAGGGTTTATGGTTTTAGGGTTTAGGGTTTAGGTGTTTGTTGAAGGTCCATGGGCAGCTATACATCGGGTTACGGCCGGGGGGGGGGGGGGGGGGGGGGGGGTATGGTGATGTTACAAGGTTTCGCATGTTTAGCTAGTGGTTGCTTCAAGCGTTAAGTTATTGAATGTTTCCCTAAATCCTAAAGCCAAAAACCCTAAACCCCGCCCGCCTCATTCGCAAGCCTTCAGTCCATTATAGCTGACCCTAGGCAAACCCCCAATCCCCCAATACCGAAGACAGAGCCTCCAAGTATTCAAATTGTACAAGTAATACCTACCATTGAACTATTTGGAGGCTTATTGTCTAGGGTCTCGGGATACTTACCTACTGTTGGGCTATTTGGAGCCTTACGGTCGAGGGTTTAGGGCCACTTACTTACTACTGCACTATTCGGGGCTTCAGGGTTCAGGGTTTAGGCTTACTTTGGTGTCGAAAAGTCTAAAGTCTATAAACAAGATCTACTTCGGTCTATTGGAGCCTGAGGCCCAGTACGCCAATTAGTTCAAACACCCCATGCGGTTTCTTCGAAGACTGTCCTTCAAGCCTTAGCTTGTTTAGGGCTTCGGAGGGGGTCCTTCAAGCCTTAGCTTGTTTAGGGCTTCGGAGGGGGTGGCGGGGGGGGGGGGGGGATTCGGCTCAGGGTAAGGTTGCGGGGGCATCTTCCAGCGTGGCGGCTGAAAACACCCACGCAAGAATGGCGCCAGCTCACTCCCAGGGGCCTCTATGTAGGTGGCGGTAGGGTTTAGGGTTTAGGGTTTAGGGTTTAGGGTTTAGGGTTTAGGGTTTAGGGTTTAGGGTTTAGGGTTTAGGGTTTAGGGTTTAATTAGGGTTTAGGGTTTAGGGTTTAGGGTTTAGGGTTCAGGCTTC